ATTTTATTACATATGTTCATGACTCCTGGCTAGATACCTTAAAGCAACTGATATAAGTGCACATACATTTCAGTATTTCACAAATAATCCTTCATCGAAAATTCTAAAGTGTTTGAAGCACGTATCCTGTTGATGTCATATTCATCATGGTAAATATAAAACAAAAACGGATGTAACAAGTTTTATTTCGGACCTTAATATATCAATTTTCGGCCGGGGGGCTTTGCTCCCTGGACCCTCAATTAACCTGGGGGCTTCAGTCGGCGGCCCCCAAACCCCTGCCTCGTCTGTTTCTGATGCCTAGTTACGGCCCTGATATCTAATGGGCATTTAACCGGGAGCACAATTTAAATAGCAATAGATTTCACAATTGGTTGTCTTTTATTTACACGAGATAGGATTTGAACTTTAAAGAGCGCAAATGGTAAGAAAGAAAGAAAATAACAGTTATATATATTTTTATAATTATATTTAAAAGGATAAATTTATATGAGGTGTGTAGAATACAGTAACTAATTAAAAACAGATGGTGGTTTTTATATTGAATATAATATGTAGAAAGTAACCCTGTCAGCTGCCGTAGCTGGACTAACCCTGTCAGCTGTCGTAGCTGGACTAACACTGACAGCTTCCGTAGCTGAACTGTTTAGTGTTTATGTACCCAGGTGATTTGAAATAACAGATATTATTCACAAAAAAAAACAAAAAAAAAAACAACAACAACAACAAAAAAACAACAATACATATACATGCCCATTCTAGTATTAATATTTTATCGCTATAGTATGAAGATTATATTTCTAAGTAAAACAAGTAATTATTTGCACACTGTACAATATAAATCACTACTGTTATACACCATAAAACAAAACGTTTCTTTTGATGAACACATTATAGACCTTTTTATTTACATAGTATCGAAATACAATAAGCATTTTAATAAAATAATGATTTCTTTAAAAAAAAAAATTAGCTGGTAGTCTTTGATATTTAAAAAAATGGAGGATTAGACAACCTGGAACCAAGAGACTGTATAATTCATGTAAGTCCCAGGTGCGAAAAGTTGTCATTAAATAAACAAATAAAAAAATAAAAAAATTAAGAAATAAACTGTTAAAAAAAAATCACTTTGTAAAGGCATAGAATAAGTTTGGTTTTAGAAACTACAATTTGTAGTGGCATTGTAAAAAGTTAATTATGCTATTGTTTTAGAAACTCAGTACATTTTGCAGTGGCATCGTATAGATTGGGTTCTACTATGGTTTCAGAAACTTCACTTTATAATGATTTTTCCCCTTTTCTGCGTCTTGGGTTTTATTTTAAGAACTTTAATAGATAGAGATAACTCAGAAAATCAGATCAACGAGAAAAGAGTTAAAATACGTTGCCAAAACTGAAATTGCTATTATTTTTTTTTGCCGTTCTTGAACATTTTAATGGTAAAGAGAGGCAATATACAGCTTAACTGAGCCTAAAGTTAAGTTTTACCAATGGGTTAACATTGCTGTGATTGTGGATCAACTTTTTTTAGCAGTTATTACCCAAAGAGAAGTTGTTTGGCTCAGTTTTGAGATTTCACAATTAGCTTAAAAACTACAATAGATAGGGAGAGAATGTGAACACCAAGATAAAATCTACATGAAAAAAAAGTACATTTTGCAGAACACAATGTTTTGTTTTTAAGAAGGATTTTTTTTTATATTTTCAACAGAATACAAAAGTAGCAATTGAGCGGATTCAGAGTATAGTTCTATTAGCTAGCTATATATATAGGGAAGGGCCATTCTATATTTTGTGATGGGGATATTGGGAACAGTCATTATTTATCAGCTGAGGGGGTCGGTTCATTTTAAGGGGGGGGGGGTCATTACCAAATATATCATACAGCTGGGGGGTTGCCATCAAAAATTTTATTTGACTGGGGGGGTCACACAATGAAAGTTTTTATGTCTGACAAGCATATAAATTGTTGACGATATTGAAGTGAGTGTGCAATCTTTTTAAATAATTTCTGTCATAATTAAATCATTGATCATGTACAGCACTAGCAGGATGCCTAAGTTCTCAAGGGTAGTGAATCTGGTCACTCCTTATCACAGTCATCTGTTATGGTTCATTATCCCATGGAACTATTATATTGACCCTTTATCCATAGGATGTGAAAGTTTACAATCCGACTTATCTCAAGATTAACAACTGTATAATTTTTGTCTCTAGTTTTGACCACAGGAAACAATGAGTTTTAAAAGTTTCTGAACATGTGTATTACAACTTTCTAAAGTGTTCAAATCATTTTGATGCGATTTCTTAGGATAGATATAGGACTGTAAAAGGTGTGTACGTTCTAAAATAATTTGTAAATATGTATAATTATTTTATGGAATTATTACAAAGATATCGAATAATAATCAGAATTTTTAATGTTCAAATCGAGGGCCCTTGTTGGGCAGCACGGCATTCACACACACAAAACAATACACTGGGGTTTCGTAAAACATTTTTCACATTGAAATAAAATATTGAATGTTTATATAATTATTAACTTACATATATATTTCTTTATCTCAAATAAATCATGTACATTTTTGTACATATTTGATCCAGGATTGCAGGAAGGACTATAACCATAAAATCAGTAATATTTGTAATGTGCTATTTTCAGTTGTACTTCCAAGAGTGGAATTGAAATAAAAAAAATATCTATATGATGAGAAAATTAAAATCCACAAAACATTTATAACCTAACAGGAGGGATTGTGCCTGATATTCATATGATGAAGACATAATCTTTCAATCAGTTTAATTGAGGTCTGGAGCTGGCATGTCAGTAACTGCTAGTAGTCTGTTGTTATTTATGTATTATTGTCATTTTGTTAATTTTCTTTTGTTTCCTATTCTGACATCGGACTCGGACTTCCCTTAAACTGAGTTTTACTGTGCGTACTGTTGTGCGTTTGTTTTTTCTACATTGGCTAGAGGTGTAGGGGGAGGGTTGAGATCTCAAAAAACATGTTTAACCCCGCCGCATTTTTGTGCCTGTCCCAAGTCAGGAGCCTCTAGCCTTTGTTAGTCTTGCATCATTTTTAATTTTAGTTTCTTGTGTATAATTTGGAGTTTAGTATGACGTCCATTATCACTAAACTAGTATACATATTTGTTTAGGGGCCAGCTGAAGGACGCCTCCGGGGGCGGGAGTTTCTCGCTGCATTGAAGACCCATTGGTGGCCTTCGGCTGTTGTCTGCTCTATGGTCAGGTTGTTGTCTCTTTGACACATTCCCCATTTCCATTCTCAATTTTATAAAACTTCAAAATTTTAATAAAGGCATTAAAAGAATTGAGACATATTGTTTACTCTTTTTTTTTATGTTTTTTCATTCACAAATAATTCTGTGTCAGACAGTAAATTTACATTTATTCATAATAGAGGGAAAATCATTATTTAAAGGTTATATATAAAATTTGTACAATTTTATAGGTTGCAGTCAAATAAATTGGAACAAAGAATTTTCTGTGTTTTTTTTTTCTCTTCTTTTTACGTCATTTCTTTCATTTATAAGAGCACATGCTCGTGTGTATAAACAAATTTGGCTAATTGTGCCTTTAAGAGCTTAACTTTTGAAGGATTGACAATTTCAAAACCAGGGACAATCTGTATTAAGATATGACTTCATTCTGTTCATGAAGGTTCAAGTTAAAATGCAATATATTTTTTTTTACATTTAAATGCTTATTTTGTCCATTTTTCTTCTTGCATGTGTCAGATATTCATATTTGAAAGAAAAAAGAAAGAAAAAACAAGAAGAAAAACTCTATTGTATACTCAGGAAATTTCTCAAAGAAGAATACAACTGAAAAATGTTTACTAAAATCAGTTGCATCAGCTTCAAAACAAAGAATATGGAAGGTCACGATGAAACATCAAGGCAATATAATATTTACAGAATATCACTTACTAGTGTTTGCTAAACAGATAAAGTAAATTATCTTTATCAAATTAATTAGTTCAAGCTACTTATAAGAACTATATAAAATAACAGAACTATAGTGTAAAATGTATTATAAAATATCAGTTCAAAATCAAAGAAAATGAGTACTGCAATCATTGCCCCAATCAAGGAAAATCTTTTTATGCTGTATTCTGTTACGGATAGTGTCAATGTCCACATAATTCACATAGCTATTTTTCAAGTCAATGCCTGCAACTTTGTACTATGTAGCTTGCAGTTATCATCTCAGTCTCCCAACTGTTAATGAATGAAATATTTGTTTGGTGGGGGGTCATACTTTTCAAACTATGTTCTCAGGGGGGGTCATTATATGGTTCATAAGAATCATGGGGGGGGGGGGTTGCCAACAAAACCTTTTAATGTGAAAAATTTGAACCGACCCCCTCAGCTGATAAATAATGACCATTCCCTAAGGGATGCTGAATGGAATGAATGTGATGGTGTCTACTGACTGGAGATCAATAATTTTGCCCAAGACATGCTGAAAAGAAATTTCTGTACATTCAGATGCACAAACGATTTGATTACCATAACTTAAATGGAGGTGGATGCAAACAGTAGTATATTTTGTTCATACTAAATGTGTATTATTTGCCTTCACAAATACAATGAAAAATTACCGTCTGCTCCTGCGGTTGTGACAATATTCAGTCAAAACATGACCGTGATCGCTGTTTCTAAAAATGATAACAAATATCATTAAATAAAATCTAGTTTTGCTTCAGAATGCCTGCAAAGTGTTTTTTCAATGTTTAATTCCCCAAAATGTACGGAAACACTCATTGACTTGTCAACCGGCGTGGCCTGCAACACTTTGCGTACCTTTTCACCTAATTATATGGTCAGGCTAAATTTAAGGAAAATCGGTGACTATGCGTGCCGACCCCCTATATGAAATGGTTGCTGGTTACAGAGAATTGCTCTAAAACAGGTGTACATAGTCTTCATCACGATGCACTAGGGTAGTGCTCCACTAATGGAGGAAAATACATGAACCTGAACTGTAGTTTCTTTCCCTGTCCCACTTATTCCCTTTTTCAAGCTGACGATCCAAGCAAAGCCAAAGGGTATGGAATAAAAATTTAGGTTCGATGATATATTTGGCATTTGTTTTCAATACTTATTTGAAAATTATGCCCGAATGTCGGACAAATTATGACATATTTTCATTTACTGTTTATAATGAATTGGTACTAACAAAATAATCAATCACCAATTATGATTTTCTTTCTTCTTCTTCTTCTTCTTCCAAATAGTGAAATACTGCCCACATTCATAATGAATATTCTGGCAAGTTGCGCATGATTAAAAACAGGTTAAAAGACGAATTGTTCTGTTGATTTAGTTTGAGGTTTTGGTCACTTGAGACTTGAATATCTCAAGAGACTTTGCTTTTGCGATATCTGATGGCAGTTAGTTCCAATCCTTGACGGTGTTTATGAAGAAAGACCATTTCCTACAGTCTTTGGTGGCTGGCTGTAATAGGTAAGTATGGTGTCCTGTCCGGTTTGAGCTTCTTGTTGGCTTTTGTAGATATTTATTCTTGTCTATGGCTACAAGGTCGTTTGTTATTTTATAACACATGATGAGTCGAGCTTCTTTTCTTCTTGTTTGTAAGCTTTTCCATCCTAATTCAGTTATCATGTTGCTGACACTTGATCTATTTCTATGTCTGCTGGTTACATATCCTGCAGCTCGTCTTTGTACCTTTTAAAATCCTGCAGTATTTACATATTCATGACCCCTGATTAGATACCTTTTGGTGCTTCTCTCCTGTCAGGTTACAATTCTGTTTCATGAAATGGTGATCTATTTTTCAAAACAACCTTGGTAAACTGCAGGGCAGGAGGTCATAAGTTCATTCAAAGAGGCCCCCGACTTTGACAAGGAGATCAATCTTCAGATATTTCTTCCATTTGTCTGTTCCCGCTGAGTTGCCCGGTGATTCTTTCCAAGTACTTCGGCTTCCTCAGTCATAATAACAGACTTCCCGGTGTCCTAGCACCCCCATGGTGTTGGGTTGGGGATTTTGTTCTTGGTGGTGGGTTGTACATATGTTAGTGACACATCTCCATTAATCCTGTTAGGGAGTGTTTCTGGATACCACTGTACCCTCGCAGCTTTCAAGGGGAGCTCTGAATAATAGAGGTATCAACCCGAACATACATACATATTCCCTGCCTTGGTGTTAACGGTCAAACCAAACACTTACACTTACACATGTTAAACAATTGGAATTTTCATTTCCTCCGCTACGTACATAGCAAAGATTGATTTTGGCCTGGTCAGAATAATGTCATGTGTTTGAGCACTGCTACATGTAGGGTGACATGTCTTTCTGCTAATCAGACAGTGTATCCCAAACTCTGTCTGACAGACAAAATGTCGGACAAAAAATCATTCGGTCAGACAGAAATTTTTAGATTTTTTAGTTTAAAATATAGTAGAAAAGATCAAATTTCTTTTCGGTCAGACAAACCCTGATACAGTTTGGCACAGACTGCTCAGACTGCTAGCAGGGGTTAAACATTTTTTTTACAGCTCACTAGCCCAGGACTTCTTGGTAGCAGGATTTTACTAGTCCTGTTGGAAGAAATGCTAGCCCAACAAAACAGACCTGCTAACCCGGGCTGCCAACAAATATTTGAGCCAGCTGGACATTTTCTTTTGATTCAGATTTCAATCCAGTAAGACTAGTAACAAAGGCAATCATTGTTAAAATGTTGGCATCATAACAATGATTGACATAAAAACAATATTAAACATCAGACTTTTGGTATAAGTTTGATGTTCTGTGAACTGTTTTAAAAATTGACAGTGCAACATACAAAATGTTTAACATAAGTGTACTAAAATCTACCTAAGACAATTAGCCAGGGGATAAAAAATCCATTAGCCCAACGTCCGGGACTAAAACATTTATGCCTCGGGCAATCAAAACTTGCCATCAATATGCCGGACGGATTAGTAAAAAGAATTTCTTGGCGTTACCAAAATAGAAATAAGAAATCCCTTCTGCTGTCCCTTGCTAAGACTCCTTATTAATGCAATATCATGCTGTCAGAACTGTACTTTCTTTCAAAAGCACATTTCCTAAAATACTGGATGTTTACTTGACAATGGTAAAACACAGACCAGAGTAAAATCGGTGAAAGCTTTCAAAGCAAAATTGAGTTTAAATAGTTCTTTCCACATTAATTCTTCTTGAAAATACTTGAAATGAATGTAAGATAAAGGTATCAATGATAGTGTTAGCATTTTTGAAGAATTCGGATGCAAAATTAAATTACATACCTGGGCACATGCACACATTTGTACTAGCTTCAACAAAGTGGTTCTTTCGAATTTTCACTTAAAACTTTTTTTAATTATTTTTTAAATTTATCATTAGAATTTTATTTTAATATGTATTTCTGATAGGCTGAATTATTTTTATCAAGTAACAGGTCATATCAATCAATGCATCGATATCATACCCCCAGTATTGTTAATTGAAAGTCTCAGCTTGACCGGCAATGTACAATACCCCCCATTAGTACTGAGAAATCGATATTGAAAGTACGGGAATTGTGATCAATACATGATACTGGTACACCCAGTTATTCGTTCTTTTTTTAAAACATGTAAAAAATCAGTTCAAATTCCTGGAATCCTGGATGAAGTAATTGAATCTGATTAGCTAAGATAGAATACTGAGGAAGGGATGGCGAAAGGGATTTTTTATTTCTATTTTGGTAAAGCCAAGAAATTTCTTTTACTAATCCGTCCGGCATATTGATGACAAGTTTTGATTGCACGAGGCTTAAATGTTTTAGTCCCGGGCATTGGGCTAATGGATTTTTTATCCCCTGGCTTCCTTTTTAACTAGCACATGAAAAGAAATCCAACTCAGTGTGTCAATCTAGAACAAACCAGGGTTCATATTCATATCACATTAACATGTTCTTGTCCTGATATACACGTAATATTTGCCACTGGACATTTAACACCAAACCATCATCAAATTGCCAACCAATTTTAGAATTTTGTCTCCAAATTAGCCTTTGCATGAATCAGGCCCTGAAGACATAAGTCATAACTTATTAACAATAAAACATTTCAGACAATACATGAGTATATGTATTGCAATATCACACAATAAAACTCCCTTATCATTTGTTTTCAAACCCACCAGTCAACAATGAGAAAAATGAATACCATATACATGTAGTGGGCTAATTGCTTCACATCTTAATTCAAACAGGGCGGTTTTCAGTTTTAGTTCATTAGATATGATAGAAATAAACAAAATTAATAATAAAATACATTTCTCTAATTACAGGGCGGATCCAGCCATTTTTAAAAGGGGGGTTCCAACCCAGAATAAAGGGGGTGGGAGGGGGTTCCAACCATATGTCTTAATTCAAAAGCATTGATTGTAAAATAAAAGGGGGGATTTCAACCCCCACAACCCCTGCCCCCTAGATCTGCCACTGAATTATACTGTTAATTTGGGGTTTTGAATAGTTAACTTTTTATTTCTATTATGCAATTTTCAATGGCATTTTGATATAATAAAACTTATGAATATAAGAAATAGATAGAATATGCAAAATTCAGGACTTAAAGTGAAGCAGTTATGTGTTTGTAAGTAATTTTACAAGCTGCAGTACTTCTTGATGATAATGATACATCCTGGACTGTCAGTGTAAACGTTGGAACATGATGTATCACTCTGTATGCATTTTGAATAAAATAGTAACAGATATAGATTTACAATTATTTTGATTATGTAAATTAAAAAAATTTATTAGTCAAACACTTGTAAGCTTATACCTTAACTGGTTGTCAAAAAGAAGAATAATCTATGCTTATATTTATTTAAAAAAATATCAAAGAAATCTTTTTTCGCAAAAATCATGTCATTTTTTACAACACATTGATAAACAGGAAAAATGTCACATTGACCTGCTACACTTTTCCATTTAGTCTAAAAATTCAAAACAGAATTCTGGCCATTTCAAATATTTTAAATAAAGAAAACATAAAAAATGAAATACACATTGATTTCCTGACACACTGTTGAATATACAAAGAATTAAAATGATAATGCAAAAGTTTCATGTTTACAGAAATGGAATAAGAACAATTTGATTCAAACAGAACCATGTATGATAATGTTTCTGAGGAAGATTGGTAAAGTCACTGTCAGACTGGTACAGTTGGGTTGTGTGGTACATTGTATAGACAGATATGTGGGTTCTTTTGTGATGGTAAGTCCATGCTTAATGGCATTGGTGTAGCCAGGTACAGTTTGGATGAGTTGTACATTGTATTGACAGATATCAGGGTTCTTTTGTGATGGTAAGTCCATGCTTCATGACATTGGTGTAGCCAGGTACAGTTTGGATGAGTTGTACATTGTATTGACAGATATGTGGGTTCTTTTGTGATGGTAAGTCCATGCTTCATGACATTGGTGTAGCCAGGTACAGTTTGGATGAGTTGTACATTGTATTGACAGATATGTGGGTTCTTTTGTGATGGTAAGTCCATGCTTCATGACATTGGTGTAGCCAGGTACAGTTTGGATGAGTTGTACATTGTATTGACAGATATGTGGGTTCTTTTGTGATGGTAAGTCCATGCTTCATGACATTGGTGTAGCCAGGTACAGTTTGGATGAGTTGTACATTGTATTGACAGATATGTGGGTTCTTTTGTGATGGTAAGTCCATGCTTCATGACATTGGTGTAGCCAGGTACAGTTTGGATGAGTTGTACATTGTATTGACAGATATGTGGGTTCTTTTGTGATGGTAAGTCCATGCTTCATGACATTGGTGTAGCCAGGTACAGTTTGGATGAGTTGTACATTGTATTGACAGATATGTGGGTTCTTTTGTGATGGTAAGTCCATGCTTCATGACATTGGTGTAGCCAGGTACAGTTTGGATGAGTTGTACATTGTATTGACAGATATGTGGGTTCTTTTGTGATGGTAAGTCCATGCTTCATGACATTGGTGTAGAAAGGTACAGTTTGGATGAGTTGTACATTGTATTGACAGATATGTGGGTACTTTTGTGATGGTAAGTCCATGCTTCATGACATTGGTGTAGCCAGGTACAGTTTGGATGAGTTGTACATTGTATTGACAGATATCAGGGTTCTTTTGTGATGGTAAGTCCATGCTTCATGACATTGGTGTAGCCAGGTACAGTTTGGATGAGTTGTACATTGTATTGACAGATATGTGGGTTCTTTTGTGATGGTAAGTCCATGCTTCATGACATTGGTGTAGCCAGGTACAGTTTGGATGAGTTGTACATTGTATTGACAGATATGTGGGTTCTTTTGTGATGGTAAGTCCATGCTTCATGACATTGGTGTAGCCAGGTACAGTTTGGATGAGTTGTACATTGTATTGACAGATATGTGGGTACTTTTGTGATGGTAAGTCTATGCTTCATGACATTGGTGTAGCCAGGTACAGTTTGGTTGTGTTGTACATTGTATTGACAGATATGTGGGTTCTTTTGTGATAGTAAGTCAATACTTCATGACGTTGGTGTAGCCAGGTACAGTTTGGATGAGTTGTACATTGTATTGACAGATATGTGGGTACTTTTGTGATGGTAAGTCCATGCTTCATGACATTGGTGTAGCCAGGTACAGTTTGGATGAGTTGTACATTGTATTGACAGATATGTGGGTACTTTTGTGATGGTAAGTCCATGCTTCATGACATTGGTGTAGCCAGGTACAGTTTGGATGAGTTGTACATTGTATTGACAGATATGTGGGTTCTTTTGTGACGGTAAGTCCATGCTTCATGACATTGGTGTAGCCAGGTACAGTTTGGATGAGTTGTACATTGTATTGACAGATATGTGGGTTCTTTTGTGATGGTAAGGCCATGCTTCATGACATTGGTGTAGCCAGGTACAGATTGGATGAGTTGTACATTGTATTGACAGATATGTGGGTTCTAATGTGATGGTAAGTCCATGCTTCATGACATTGGTGTAGCCAGGTACAGTTTGGATGAGTTGTACAAGGATTGACAGATATGTGGGTTCTTTTGTGATGGTAAGTCCATGCTTCATGACATTGGTGTAGCTAGGTACAGTTTGGATGAGTTGTACATTGTATTGACAGATATGTGGGTACTTTTGTGATGGTAAGTCCATGCTTCATGACATTGGTGTAGCCAGGTACAGTTTGGATGAGTTGTACATTGTATTGACAGATATGTGGGTTCTTTTGTGATGGTAAGTCCATGCTTCATGACATTGGTGTAGCCAGGTACAGTTTGGATGAGTTGTACATTGTATTGACAGATATGTGGGTTCTTTTGTGATGGTAAGTCCATGCTTCATGACATTGGTGTAGCCAGGTACAGTTTGGATGAGTTGTACATTGTATTGACAGATATGTGGGTTCTTTTGTGATGGTAAGTCCATGCTTCATGACATTGGTGTAGCCAGGTACAGTTTGGATGAGTTGTACAAGGATTGACAGATATGTGGGTTCTTTTGTGACGGTAAGTCCATGCTTCATGACATTGGTGCAGCTAGGTACAGTTTTGATGAGTTGTACATTGTATTGACAGATATGTGGGTACTTTTGTGATGGTAAGTCCATGCTTCATGACATTGGTGTAGCCAGGTACAGTTTGGTTGTGTTGTACATTGTATTGACAGATATGTGGGTTCTTTTGTGATGGTAAGTCCATGCTTCATGACATTGGTGTAGCCAGGTACAGTTTGGATGAGTTGTACATTGTATTGACAGATATGTGGGTACTTTTGTGATGGTAAGTCCATGCTTCATGACATTGGTGTAGCCAGGTACAGTTTGGATGAGTTGTACATTGTATTGACAGATATGTGGGTTCTTTTGTGATGGTAAGTCCATGCTTCATGACATTGGTGTAGCCAGGTACAGTTTGGATGAGTTGTACATTGTATTGACAGATATGTGGGTTCTTTTGTGATGGTAAGTCCATGCTTCATGACATTGGTGTAGCCAGGTACAGTTTGGATGAGTTGTACAAGGATTGACAGATATGTGGGTTCTTTTGTGATGGTAAGTCCATGCTTCATGACATTGGTGTAGCTAGGTACAGTTTGGATGAGTTGTACATTGTATTGACAGATATGTGGGTACTTTTGTGATGGTAAGTCCATGCTTCATGACATTGGTGTAGCCAGGTACAGTTTGGTTGTGTTGTACATTGTATTGACAGATATGTGGGTTCTTTTGTGATGGTAAGTCCATGCTTCATGACATTGGTGTAGCCAGGTACAGTTTGGATGAGTTGTACATTGTATTGACAGATATGTGGGTACTTTTGTGATGGTAAGTCCATGCTCCATGACATTGGTGTAGCCAGGTACAGTTTGGATGAGTTGTACATTGTATTGACAGATATGTGGGTTCTTTTGTGATGGTAAGTCCAGGCTTCATGACATTGGTGTAGCCAGGTACAGTTTGGATGAGTTGTACATTGTATTGACAGATATGTGGGTTCTTTTGTGATGGTAAGTCCAGGCTTCATGACATTGGTGTAGCCAGGTACAGTTTGGATGAGTTGTACATTGTATTGACAGATATGTGGGTTCTTTTGTGATGGTAAGTCCATGCTTCATGACATTGGTGTAGCCAGGTACAGTTTGGATGAGTTGTACATTGTATTGACAGATATGTGGGTACTTTTGTGATGGTAAGTCCATGCTTCATGACATTGGTGTAGCCAGGTACAGTTTGGATGAGTTGTACATTGTATTGACAGATATGTGGGTTCTTTTGTGATGGTAAGTCCATGCTTCATGACATTGGTGTAGCCAGGTACAGTTTGGATGAGTTGTACATTGTATTGACATATATGTGGGTTCTTTTGTGATGGTAAGTCCATGCTTCATGACATTGGTGTAGCCAGGTACAGTTTGGATGAGTTGTACATTGTATTGACAGATATGTGGGTTCTTTTGTGATGGTAAGTCCATGCTTCATGACATTGGTGTAGCCAGGTACAGTTTGGATGAGTTGTACAAGGATTGACAGATATGTGGGTTCTTTTGTGACGGTAAGTCCATGCTTCATGACATTGGTGCAGCTAGGTATAGTTTTGATGAGTTGTACATTGTATTGACAGATATGTGGGTACTTTTGTGATGGTAAGTCCATGCTTCATGACATTGGTGTAGCCAGGTACAGTTTGGTTGTGTTGTACATTGTATTGACAGATATGTGGGTTCTTTTGTGATGGTAAGTCCATGCTTCATGACATTGGTGTAGCCAGGTACAGTTTGGATGAGTTGTACATTGTATTGACAGATATGTGGGTACTTTTGTGATGGTAAGTCCATGCTTCATGACATTGGTGTAGCCAGGTACAGTTTGGATGAGTTGTACATTGTATTGACAGATATGTGGGTTCTTTTGTGATGGTAAGTCCATGCTTCATGACATTGGTGTAGCCAGGTACAGTTTGGATGAGTTGTACATTGTATTGACAGATATGTGGGTTCTTTTGTGATGGTAAGTCCATGCTTCATGACATTGGTGTAGCCAGGTACAGTTTGGATGAGTTGTACAAGGATTGACAGATATGTGGGTTCTTTTGTGATGGTAAGTCCATGCTTCATGACATTGGTGTAGCTAGGTACAGTTTGGATGAGTTGTACATTGTATTGACAGATATGTGGGTACTTTTGTGATGGTAAGTCCATGCTTCATGACATTGGTGTAGCCAGGTACAGTTTGGTTGTGTTGTACATTGTATTGACAGATATGTGGGTTCTTTTGTGATGGTAAGTCCATGCTTCATGACATTGGTGTAGCCAGGTACAGTTTGGATGAGTTGTACATTGTATTGACAGATATGTGGGTACTTTTGTGATGGTAAGTCCATGCTCCATGACATTGGTGTAGCCAGGTACAGTTTGGATGAGTTGTACATTGTATTGACAGATATGTGGGTTCTTTTGTGATGGTAAGTCCATGCTTCATGACATTGGTGTAGCCAGGTACAGTTTGGATGAGTTGTACATTGTATTGACAGATATGTGGGTTCTTTTGTGATGGTAAGTCCAGGCTTCATGACATTGGTGTAGCCAGGTACAGTTTGGATGAGTTGTACATTGTATTGACAGATATGTGGGTTCTTTTGTGATGGTAAGTCCAGGCTTCATGACATTGGTGTAGCCAGGTACAGTTTGGATGAGTTGTACATTGTATTGACAGATATGTGGGTTCTTTTGTGATGGTAAGTCCATGCTTCATGACATTGGTGTAGCCAGGTACAGTTTGGATGAGTTGTACATTGTATTGACAGATATGTGGGTTCTTTTGTGATGGTAAGTCCATGCTTCATGACATTGGTGTAGCCAGGTACAGTTTGGATGAGTTGTACATTGTATTGACAGATATGTGGGTTCTTTTGTGATGGTAAGTCCATGCTTCATGACATTGGTGTAGCCAGGTACAGTTTGGATGAGTTGTACATTGTATTGACAGATATGTGGGTTCTTTTGCAAATTATTTTAGGAAATATTTTTGAAACCCATACTGTGGATTCATTTATTTTCGTTGGTACTAATTTTTGTGGATTGAGGAAAAATTGTAGGACCTACCAAAGTATAATTGCCAAGTTCAATTACAAAACTATTGAAAATATGTACTTCTTTGACCATTTTAATTGGTTAACCTTTACCAATGAAATCAACGAAAACTAATATCCCACGAATAATAATGAATCCACAGTAAATAACATAACTTCTCTGTTTAAATGTTCTTCTTCTTAGTATTCGCTATAAATGTATGAAAAGAATACAGATTTTGTAAGTTTAAATGATGAGACAGTAAGTGATGTAGCACTATTTTTAAGGATAGATAAATTGATTACTGGAGCTTAACATCCAGTAGGGAAAAAGTACTGCCAGAATGGTCAAAATCACTGATCTACTGGTAAATCACCTGTTCCATTTTTAACATTTGTAACAGATTGCAAATGATTACAATGTACTAAATAAAGTTACATGGTCACAGCCATTTGTGAAGGGATTGGGAACATGTCATGGAGATGAAAGTAGCTGGCTATCTGTGATATCATATGCATGCAAATTATGGAAAGAATTTTGAATAAAATATCATGCAGGCACAAATTTGTCCTCAAAAGACTCTTTTTGGGGTAAATTTACTGCAAGAGCTCTAGGTATGGTAAAAAAATCCAAAATTCACAAAGAAAAGCCACGGGACCCTATAGATTTAAGTGCTGTAAAATCAGAAATAGATATTGTGCTCCTTTTAGTTAACAGCAGTTTTTCCATAAAAAGTTGATTAAAAGTGCCTTTAAGGAATTAATTGCTAAAAATAGTATTGTTGACAATGGGGCAAACATTTAGTACACACTTTATATATGTATATATATGAGTGTAAATTTGAATTGCCTTCCTTCACTAAGCAGCTCAGAGTTTTTAGAGAGATTGTTGAAAAAATGGAAATAACAAAATCTGCATTCAATTTTTAATTGATACAATTAAGTTGTGTTGGATATTGCTTATTACTAAAGATCGAAAATTGGTTGAAAATAAGATTTTGTAATATTAAGATAGAGTTGGAAGGACTCAAATTTTTTTTTCAATTTTTTAGACCAACTATCTTATATTGAATCAGTTTTTTTATGTAACATCCCAGATTTGAGTTGAAATGTACATTTTATGATGATCTGTTAATTCTGTACACAAGAATGCTGTTCAATATTGACACCTTGGAAAAGGGAAATAACTTATATTAGATTTGCCTCCCATTGGCAGCTATTTTGCTGAACAGGTTAGCTTTAAATATTCAACACTATAAGACTTCACTGTGTCACTAAATCTTATCTCTACATTAAAGCTTAAAAAGATGTATGCTTGTGCAAATCTGACATACTCTAATGTATTGTGCTTACTGGTACTTTAAAGGGGCATTAACTGCCAAATTCATTATCACCTATTTGACTTTAATTCTCATATGATTTATAACATATGTACAAAAACTTAGATCCAAATTACAAAAGGTCCAAAAAGAAACAATTAACAATGCATGAACTCATATAAATGTATCAGCATTTCATTCATATTTTAGACTACATGCAATCTAATTAACCATAGAGATGATCTCCGAAGACTGCAGATAGTCTTATGACCTGATAGAAACAAGAATATAAATATAAATAGATAGACAAACATGTGCAATTCTGTAATGATGATTTGTTAGGTCTGTTTGTTTTCATGTTATAGATAAAAAAATGTAACCATTGTTAACCTGTACTGTATATGAATGATTTTTTGTGGGACAAATCAGTCAAAGAAATGATTTTTCATGGTGGCTCCCTTGTTTCACTTTTCAATGTTGATATTCTTTTCTTTCTAATATATGAACATGGTTAGCACATGCGTAACCTGAGGTAAAATGTAAGTTTTCATGAATACCTATTCAAAAGAGTAAGCCAATAATACATTTGCAATGTTATTGAGCTTATTTAGATCAAATGAACCAAACTGACAGCTAATATATTATTTCAATATTACGCTTTAATAAATGTTTGAAACAAAAAAACATCATAATTTCGATTTTTATGCCCCACCAACGGGCATTATGTTTTTCAGTTTGTGCGTCCGTTCGTTCGTCTGTTTGTTCGTCCGTCTGTCTGTCCCGCTTCAGGTTAAAGCTTTTGGTCAACATAGTTTTTGATGAAGTTGAAGTCCAATCAACTTGAAACTTAGTACACATATTCCCTATGATATGATCTTTCTAATTTTAGTGCCAAATTAGAGTTTTGACCCCAATTTCACGGTCCACTGAACTTAGAAAATGATAGTGCGAGTGGGGCATCCGTGTACTATGGACACATTCTTGTTTTGTCTAATTTGTAGCTCATGTTCCTTGAAATCATTTTGCCTTTCTTTGTAAGAACGATAAGAATTGAAATGTGGTTACCATATTCTATAGACAGTACAAAAATATTGATATGAAAGTATCTGTATTAATGAATATAAACAAGACAGACAGGAGTCAATGTAAGCAGAACAGTATAAAGATAAGAAGATGTGGTATGATTGGCAATGAGACAAGTCTCCACCAGAGACCAAATGACGAAAATGAGAAATGTAAAACAATTCAAATGAGAAAACTAACGGCCTGATTTATGTACAAAACAATAAAAAAAACAAATATGATATACAACAAAAACGGACAACCACTTAATTACAAGCTCCTGACTTTGGATAGGCACATAACAGTGGTATATGTATTTTTATAAACATTTGTATTTTATACTTCATTCATTGTATGTTTGCCTATTGTACAGTCTTTTTCTTACAGTGTTGTGGAGATTCCATGGTTCCTACCTTATTCAATAATGATATTGTACTAGCAGAAAATATATCTGTGGCTTACAAAAAACTACAGAAGTAAGTGATTTTATGTTCGTATGTGAATGGAAATTTGAATAAGGCTCACTTGGCTCATGTAGTCAGTGTAAGGCATCTTTTTTTAGATCCTCTATCAAATATTGTGGCTTCAATCTGTCTGGAAAAATGGACACTAAGGGGAAATTTTGATTTTGAAATATCAACTTTCAAATTTTTCTTCCCCTGAAACTACAAAACTCAATCTTTCGCAATGAGCAAAACTCATACCATGTAGAACGGTAAGCTATAGAAGACCCTGGGATGACAAAATATGATACAATTATGGCCCACAGCAACCAAAGACAACTACTTGATAACAACACATCACAAGAACAAATTGTAAAAATTAGCTGTAAATGGCCTGAGAAAAAATCATATTTTCATCTTCACTCTGAAACTATTTTGGCAATGTGTGCCAATCGGTCTTTTGTTGTTATAAATGAGGATTTGTGATCTTTATTTTTTGTACCCTCACATTCTGCTTATGTTCCATAGAATTTTTCAAATTCTGTTCTTTAATATAATCAAGAATTTGTATAGTTAAATATACAAATCTTTGATATACTTGTGTTAATTATTATGAAAGGGAGATAATCAATGTAATAATGGAAAATTATTTTAATATTACTGTGGATTAATTATTATTGGCGGGATGCCAATTTTCATGGATTTTGTGCATAACCATGAACTTTTATGTTCCAAAAAGTACAAAATTTCTAAAGGTTTGTATACAAACTTTTGCAAACCACAAAATCAAATATCTATGAAAATTGGTATCCATGAAAATAAACAAATCCACAGTAGGATATGTAGCCCTCAAAATTGAATGTAACAAAACAATAAGCAAAAATAAAATTATTTCTTTAAATTGTGATTTCTTTAAATTGTTAAGTCTTGAATAATCAGAAAGTAATTTACAATATGCAAGCTTTAAACATGCAGTAACTATTTATAATGCTTTTAATAGCATTTTAGATAATTGAATCATAAAAATAAAAAAAGATAATCCTACTATCTTTACAGGGGTGATATTGTGATTGCCAGATCCCCAGCAGATCCTTACCAGTTTATTTGTAAACGATTAGTTGCCATGGAAGGGGACAGTGTTTTTGACGACAATGCAGAAAGGCAATATGTAAATATTCTCCAATATTTTAATTTGAAGTTCAATTTACATGAATTGCAATCAGATATATTATTATGAGATAAACACTAAATAAATGGAAAGCAAAATCAACATGCTTACACCCATATTCTTCAAAATTTGATGAGCAGTACTGGTATATAATTTTTATGTAGGTTAATACTTCAGGAAAGGAAAAAAATGTCTTTAAAAAATGTTACTTTGCTTTTCTTTATATTGTATTGGGAAAAAATGGCTTTATAGGAAAAATGTTTTAAAACTTTTGAAATGTCTGTTTACATTGCAGGTTCCAAAAGGCCATGTGTGGTTAGAGGGAGATAATCAAAGAAATTCCAATGATTCTTGCCATTATGGACCAGTGCCTGCTGGACTTCTTAATAGACGTGTATTCTTTAGAGTAAGTGTTAATCAGACAACAGTTTAAATAGTTTGATAAATTTTGTCAGAACTTTATAGAAATTTCTACAATTCCATCTCCAAAAAGTTTTAGCATTCAAAAGACAATTCCACCCCAACCCTTCTATACTATTGGTGTATGACCTGGGCATGTAAAATTTTGCAGTCTGTATTGAATTAAATGTCTTAAAGACATATATTTAATTAATAATTAATACATGATTAAAATGGCTGACTTTCTATTATTATATTGCTGCCACCATTTATTTATAATTTTGATTTGATTGAAACTGAAATATTTTATCACATTTGCTTAACACATTTTCAAGCTCAATTTAACTGTTGATAATGAATTCATTATCTTACAAGCTCATAACAAACAATAAATATTGCCTTGGTTTTCTCGTGGCTGCATGCTTGCCTCAAGAACAGGAAGTTGTGGTTCTATTCAACGTTGGGTCGAACAAAAGACTTTATATTGGTATCCCAACAAATTGATTGACATAGGATTAATTAAGGAAACTAAGTTGGATGAAGAATGAAACATAGGATTTGAGAATGAACACAAACAGAATTGGGATATAGGAAAATTATTTTTCAGAAGTGCTGTTCTTAATATAAGTCATAGTGTTTCTATGTTTTGAAGTTGATGTGGTAACTTTGGGTCAAATCATCTTTTTTTTACCAATAGATAATGTGAATATATATGAAATCAGGGGGATAAAGTATCTAAGGTCTATTCTGTGAATGGAAGTTAAATAGTAAAACTTTTGTAGTAGAACTGTACAAATATTTAGTTTGTTCAATTGAGTGTAAATGAATCAATTTAATAACAAAGATGATTCCTAGAAATAAGACAAGTCTCCCTGAAAAAACCCCAACAATAAACAGAAAATATTTCAGCTTTTTCTTTTGCAATGATGACTTACCATTGCAGCATGAATGACATGAGATTACAGAAAATAGAAAAATATGATAATATATAATCAGTTCTGACTGACTTTCTTATTTTTCCAGATATGGCCATTTCCTCATATGGGATATTTGAAACACCCAGCAGAAAGATGACAAATATTGTATCTAACTTCTCAGGGATAGTATGAATGGTACTGGTGTGTTGGAAAATGCTGACTATGATTGATTTTTTTTCTTTTATTAGAGAGACTTTTAACAGTTTTATAGCTCATTTTTTTAAATCAAAATTTACTATTGCTAAAAATATGTTTACTGTAGATTTTTGAATGAATAAAAATGTATATGATGCTATTGTTGTTGCTTACAATCAATCTCAGGATATGTTTTCTAATAATCCATTTATGTTAACTCAGACTGAAATTGAAATTCGTTGGAAGAATTTTATAAATGATTCATTATCTACTTTAGCTAAGTGTCTAAAGGAAGTCATCTGAAGTGTTTCATTGAAAGAGATTTTTCAGGTATCTTTAGTCATATTGTGTTGCATGCAAATTGTAATTACAAATTTTCTAAATCCTAAAATACTAGTAGTAGTATTTCTAAAGTTCAGATTCCAATGATATAGACACTTGTCTATTTATTAAGACTACATGTATATGATGATTTCTAGATATTTTTATGCCCCCGCTGTAGGCAATGGGGCATTAAGTGTTACCCTTGACTGTCATACCATCCTTCTGTCTGTCCCATTTTCTTTTCCGCTTTCTAACTTAAGTTTTCTTCATCCATATTTTATGAAACTCATACACAATGCTAAGAACCAAAACTCACAGACAAGAGTTTGAATTTGGGCAGTGAGTCTTTTATTAGTCCCCTACTGACGAAGTCGAAGGGGACTTTAGGTTTGCACTCCGTCCGTCTGTCTGTCCATCTGTCAGTCTGGCAAATCAGTTTTCCACACTTTTTTTCTTCATGCTTGAAGATATTGATTTGATATTTGGTGTATTGTTTTATCATGACAAGTTACAGATAAAGTTCGAATTTTGTTCCGGTCTGATGATTTTGTGCAGAGTTATGGTCCTTGGACGTAGAAAATTCACCAAAATAATCAGTTTTCCGCACTTTTTTTCGTCATGCTTGAAGATATTGATGTGATAATTGGTATATAGTTTTATCATGATAAGTTACAGATCAAGTTTGAATTTTGTTTTGGTCTGATGATTTTGTGCAGAGTTATGGTCCTTGGACGTAGAAAATTCACCAAAATAATCAGTTTTCCGCACTTTTTTTCGTCATGCTTGAAGATATTGATGTGATAATTGGTATATAGTTTTATCATGATAAGTTACAGATCAAGTTCGAATTTTGTTTTGGTCTGATGATTTTGTGCAGAGTTATGGTCCTTGGACTTCGAAAATTCACTCAAATCATCAGTTTTTCCTGACTTTTTTTCGTCATGATTGAAGATATTGATTTGGTAATTTGTATATAGTTTTATCATGACAAGTCACAGATCAAGTTCGAATTTTGTTCCGGTCTGATGATTTTGTGCAGAGTTATGGTCCTTGGACTTTGAAAATTCACTTAAATAATCAGTTTTCCACACTTTTTTTCATCTTGCCTGAAGATATTGACTTGATATTTGATATATAGTATACACCATAATAAGTTATAGATCAAGTTAGCATTTTGTTCCAGAACAATGAATTTTTAATTGGTAGGGCACTATGTATTGCCATGCAATACTTTCAGAATGCTTGTCATTCTAGAGTTATGCCCTTAAAGGGGCATTAGCTACGAGATATAAAAAAAATTGAAATATGTTTTTATTTTGTTCAATCATTTATGAAAGTGAAATAGTGAAATAATAATTCACTTTAAGCAGCCAGTTTAGTTCAATTTTGTCAAAATAAGCTAGGAAACATCGCTGATGAATTATTCACTTGCAAGTGAATAATTCGACCTCATTGACTCCATATTCTTGTGACCTTCAATTTAACCCCTTAGCTAGAGATTGGTTATGCATGTATTAGTCATGTTCAGCCATTAAAAGGAAAAGAATATCAACATTGAAAGTGAAACAAAGGTGAACCATTTTTGTTGACTGATTCGATCAACAAAATATCATTCTTATACAGGCAAAAACGATGATTAACTTATTTTTAGCTCACCTTGCCCGAAGGGCCAAGTGAGCTTTTCTCATGACTTGGGCGTCCGTTGTCCGTCATCGTTAACTTTTTACATTTTGAACTTCTTCAAGAGAACCACTGAATAGAATGAAACAAAACATGGCATGCATGTTCCTTATGAGGTGCTAACCAAGTGTTGTTACTTTGTAGCTGATCCATCATCCAAGATGGCCGCCAGCGGGGGACTTAGTTTAACATAGGACCCTATGGACAATACATACAAATGTCTTCTTTTAGAGAACCACTGAATGGAATAAAACCAAACATGGCATAAATGTTCCTTATGAGGTGCTGATGAAGACCTTAATACATGTATCTTTATAGATTGAGATATACAGTAAACTGCAAAAATATCAAGAAAAGAAGATCTACACATAAGTCAACATGAGCAAAATTGTCAATTGACATCTTGTTGGAGTTATTGTCTTATAAAGTAATTTTCTACAATTTCAATGAATTTATTGGTAATTTCTGTAAACTTTACAATACTCTTCTGCTTTTGATTAAATTACGGGGCCAATATTAAACCAAATTTGGCCTCAATCATTATTAGGGTATCTGTTATGATTTTAATCTATTTTTACATGATTTCCAAAACCAAAGTAGAATCAGGTGAGTGACACAGGCTCTTGAGAGCCTCTAATTTTAACCTATAACATGAAATCAAACAGACCTAAAAAGGTCCAATTGCACAAGGTCACCATCTATTTATATTTATGTTTGTTTATATCAGATTATGTGACTGTGGCAGTCTTCAGAGGTCATCTTGATGATTAATTAGATGGCGTCTAGACTAAAATACACACGAAATGCAAATGCTGATATATATTATCGAATCCATGCATTGTTAATTGTTTATTTCAGACTTATTGTAATTTGGATATACGTTTTAGTATGTTATAAATCAAATATGAGAACTTGAGTGAAATCTATGAACATGAATTTGACAGATAATTCCCCTTTAATAACTTTTAAATTGCCAATTTTTGTTTCCATACTCTTCCTTAAAAAATTATTACACCAGGGTTTTCGATATCACAAACTAGTCAAAACATTTACTAAATTTTATCATCGGTATAAGGACATCATTCGTAAATATAGCTCAACATGCAGACTTCTTATACGTTCAGGTATTTCACATCCAATTTTTTATGGAAATATTCTTTATAAAGCACAAAAATGTCAGTATTCACCTCTGAAACTAACAAAACCTTTAAATAGACTTATTAAGAAGGGATATAGTTACGATACTGTTGTCAGGTCATTAAAGATTGCATATTTTGGCGTTAATATTGATTCACTTATAGGGTCTTTGCATCGGCACTAAACACATTTATTTAAAAACCAGTTGTTGGCATGACACGGGTTATGTTCTTCTCATATATGTTATGATGGTATGATACTAAACCCCTAACGGGAAGGATTGTGCCTGATATTCATATGATGAAGACATAATCTTTCAATCAGTTTAATTGAAGTCTGGAGCTGGCATGTCAGTTAACTGCTAGTAGTCTGTTGTTATTTATGTATTATTGTCATTTTGTTTATTTTCTTTGGTTACATCTTCTGACATCAGACTCGGACTTCTCTTGAACTGAATTTTAATGTGCGTATTGTTATGCGTTTACTTTTCCACATTGGCTAGAGGTAAAGGGGGAGGGTTGAGATCTCATAAACATGTTTAACCCCGCCGCATTTTTGCGCCTGTCCCAAGTCAGGAGCCTCTAGCCTTTGTTAGTCTTGTATTATTTTTAATTTTAGTTTCTTGTGTACAATTTGGAGTTTAGTATGGCGTTCATTATCACTGAGCTAGTATATATATTTGTTTAGGGGCCAGCTGAAGGACGCCTCCGGGTGCGGGAATTTCTCGCTGCATTGAAGACCTGTTGGTGGCCTTCTGCTGTTGTCTGTTCTGTGGTCGGGTTGTTGTCTCTTTGACACATTCCCCATTTCCATTCTCAATTTTATCTTCCTTAAGTTTGACTCTTTCAAATTGAATGAAACTTTTACACAATACTTAGAACAAAAACTCGCAGACAAGAGATTGAATTTTGGCAGTGAGTCATTTACTGTTCTAGAGTTATGCCCTCTTTTAGCTCACATGGCTCTCAGGGCCAAGTGAGCTTTTCTCATCACTTTGCGTCCGTCGTCGTCATCATTAACTTTTTACATTTTGAACTTCTTCTAGAGAACCTCTGAATGGAATGAAACCAAACATGGCATGAATGTTCCTTATGAGGTGCTGACCAAGTGTTGTTACTTTGTAATTGATCCATCATCCAAGATGGCCGCCAGCTGGGGACTTCGTTCAACATAGGACCCTATGGACAATACATACAAATGTCTTCTTTTAGAGAACCACTGAATGGAATGAAACCAAACATGGCATGAATGCTCCTTATGAGGTGCTGACCAAGTGTTGTTACTTTGTAGTTGATCCATCATCCAAGATGGCCGCCAGCGGGGGACTTCGTTTAACATAGGACCCTATGGACAATACATACAAATGTCTTCTTTTAGAGAACCACTGAATGGAATAAAACCAAACATGGCATAAATGTTCCTTATGAGGTGCTGATGAAGACCTTAATACATATATCTTTATAGATTGAGATATACAGTAAACTGCAAAAATATCAAGAAAAGAAGATCTACACATAAGTCAACATGAGCAAAATTGTCAATTGACATCTTGTTGGAGTTATTGTCTTATAAAGTAATTTTCTACAATTTCAATGAATTTATTGGTAATTTCTGTAAACTTTACAATACTCTTCTGCTTTTGATTAAATTACGGGGCCAATATTAAACCAAATTTGGCCTCAATCATTATTAGGGTATCTGTTATGATTTTAATCTATTTTTACATGATTTCCAAAACCAAAGTAGAATCAGGTGAGTGACACAGGCTCTTGAGAGCCTCTAATTTTAACCTATAACATGAAATCAAACAGACCTAAAAAGGTCCAATTGCACAAGGTCACCATCTATTTATATTTATGTTTGTTTATATCAGATTATGTGACTGTGGCAGTCTTCAGAGGTCATCTTGATGATTAATTAGATGGCGTCTAGACTAAAATACACACGAAATGCAAATACTGATATATATTACTTAGTTTAACATAGAACCCTACGGACAATACATAAAAATGTCTTCTT